GGAATTAAAAAGAAAAAGACAGACTCTCCGGATGAAATCCCCGAGGCCGGCCGGAGTAGGAGAAAACGATTCGGTCTGTCGGTCGGTCGGCTAGTATCGCCCTCTATCAAATTGCGCTTCAGTACGGAGTAGTGCGGCCCAGAAAGAGGAGAAGTCAACTACCGATGCTCTATCATTATTTCTTGTATGTTCTGTATAGTTTGCTCTTGAACATACCTACTTATCGTATTTACTTCTTACCAAGCAAATAAACAAAAAATTATGGCGATATCGCCCCCCAATGTTTTGCTAAGCCCGGGGTCGGAGCATCGGGGATTGGTGCACAAAAAAAAAACGGTTTGCGCCCTGCGAGGTACGTACCGGGGGGATGCGGTCATTTTAGCTGTCACCTGCTTCTCTTGGGCTTTGTGAGAGCCGCAGATTTCCGTAGGATGATGTCACGGAGGACGTTGATTGGTTCGATGCATATCTCTTGGACAAAAGGGTTGTTGGAGCTTCAGCGAGCTACCTATGTCAGTGGCTTAGGGACCAAGAATACCTTAGGTATTGTAAATGATAAAAGAATAAATAAATCGAGTCTCAGGTCCCTTGATATCATAAGTATTATGATGCTATCCGCTGAAACCAAAATCCGTCATGATGGTATTTTCTAAAGACGAGCAGATCTAGATCTTGTGAAGCATAACGTTAAGCACACTTGGCTGCTGATCGTTGTGATAGGATTATCAATCTCTCATTATCAATCTCTCATTATCAATCTCCCTCCTCATTGTCTACGCCCTTCCAACAAACTCAAGCACCGCCTTCACAAACCCTTCAGGAGTCTCCTCTGCAATCCAGTGCCCACTCTCAGGCACCGAAGCAACACTAAATGTCCCCTTTTCATGAACTTCCCCCATCATCTGCTCAGCCATCTCGCTGAACTGATTCATTCCGCCATTAAGACCCAAGGCCCTCACTTTACATTTCCCATGCTTGGCAACCCACTCACGATTCTCCTCCGAATCTTTGCCAAACTCCCTGTACATGTTAAAACCACAGCGGAGAGCGCCAGGACGACTAAACATCTTGACATAATAGTTCAAGTCCTCTTGGGTAATTGCTGATGAGTTGTACGAGTATTTGTCGTAGAAGTGGCCGAGGTAGATCTCCTCCCTGCCTGAGACGAGAGCTTCGGGAAGATCGAGAACTTGGTGGAACCAGAAGTGGAAGTGCTGAACGCCGTGTATTTTCCAAGTATCCTCGTGAGCTTGAGTTCCGGGGAGGGGGCATTCTCCCCAGATGACAGATGCTGTGCGATCAGAGTATCGGGAGGCAAATGTATATGCTATCATACCGCCGATATCATGGCCAACAATGTGAACTGGATCTCTGATAGAGAGGTGGTCAAGAAGTTCCAAGATATCAGATGCCATGGCTGTCTTGGTGAAACCTGTCTGAGTTCTGTGCGAGTATCCAGCTCCACGGTAATCTGGGGTGATCACCCGATATCTAAGTCTTATGAGTATCTGCTCTACTGCTAACCAATAAAACTTACCCAGCTGAGGATATAGGACCGATGACTTTTCGAAACTGATATGAAGTCTGAGGGAAACCATGGATCAAGACCACGACGCCCTTCTCATTCCCATCATGCTTGTTATCAGTGTAAGCGATGCTCACACCATTGTCGAGAGAAGCTGTATAAAAGGCACGGTCCATTTTGATAGATATTTTAGTATGTTCTTCAGCTCTTTATGTTTCTTTGAGTGACGAGTTATCTCTTTCATGTACCCTTTGCGAGCTCTTATATCGCCTATGGTACGACGTTGGCATGACGCTCGATGACGCTGAAGACTGGGGATTACAAAGCGATCATCTTGAAATTCACGATGAATTCCAAGGAAATGGGGTAAAAGCACCAATTAACGCCTTGTATCTTTTCAAAAACGGGTTCGACATTTCTTGGTCAATTGATCTCGAAGTTGAGTATGTATCTCCGCTAACGTTATGCAACCACAGGGTGATGGATAGCTAGAAGGGACTTTACTCATGTCGTCTCGATGTTTCAACACTAGCACTAATTATGTGTGACATTCTCGCTTCACTAGAATTCAATATATCTATCAATTTTAGTAATTAGTGGCTACTACTATATGCTTAAACTATTTCAGAGCAAAGACATGGGCACATATGATAAGACGCATAGCTATAGGGTATGCAAATAAGCATCGAGGGAGCATTTTTATATAATATTCAATTGCTACTCTCACCAAAAAGCCCTTATGCTCTACCTAGATGCTTTGAATCCTTGGGTGAGTGAATGGCCTGGTAATTTCACGATCTTCACTTTTAAACAGCCTTCAATATCGTTATGTGTTGATCAACCGTTTAGATTTGTAATGCCCATTCACCGTCTCTTGACCACACTAACCTAATCCATCCACCATAATCCATTGCCCACTATGACTCGGCCGGCGAACCACAGCATTCTATTCGTGCTCTTTGCATCATTCATCACGACTTATCATCAACCGCCTTCAAATCCATCCCTGCCCCTAATCAATCTCCCTTGTTCTCACCTTGACTCAATCGGCGAAAAATTACTCTTTATAGCCTTCAACGTGATAATGAATTTATTGTAATAAATAACCTACCGCTTCCAAGATAAACTTCGGACTTAACGGACAAGAAAGCATCATGACATCAAACACAAACGAGCTCGACTCGGAACTCGAGTCTTTCCGACAGAAATGGATTTCAGATCTAAGAACGAGGAGTGAACACCCGGAAACTGCTGAGGCTCCGGCTGGACCGTCAAGACGACCTCATCATGGTCCTATCTCCTCGTTGCCACATAAGCATGTACCTGCGCCAGCGGATGACGGTGACGATGATTATGTGCAAAGCCGTGCTTTCGATCAAGATGAACCTGTAGCTCAAGCACCGCAGGATGTTGAGCATGATCGGAAAGGAAAGAAACTCGTTTCTGCTCTAGACCATTTTGAAGAGGCGATGCATAAGGAGGACCAGGGTAATATGGGTGATAGTCTCAAGCTCTACCGCAAGGCTTACAGAGTATGTGATCTCAATCCAGCTCATTAGAAACTCTACTAACTCGTCTACAGCTTGATAATGGTGTTGATCGGAGATATCGTGAGAAGCACTTCCCTCAAAAGACAGCTCCGCGACCCGTTTCGCCAACAGCTACCAAAGCCTCTGCACCAGAGACGACTCAACCGCCCAAGCCAGAAGAAGTTGTAGAAGCAAAGCCTCTACCCATAGGCGAACTCATAGCCAGCTTCTCTGGGTTGAAAATCGAGCCTGCCCCTCCTCCCATCGAGGGCATGCCTGAGCCACCATGTCCTATGGCCGATCTCCCCGATGAGATCCTCATCCACATCCTCCGCGACGTTGCAATCACTGATGTTGGAGACTTTGCCCGCTTATCTCGCGTGTGCAAGCGTCTCGCATACCTCGTCGCTTCAGAGCAGCGGATCTGGCGCCGTGTAGCTCTCGGTTCAGAAGTCGGTTTCAGCTCGCAGATATACCGTTTCGAAAAGGGCGTTGAGTGGGACGACCTGCCAGAGGAGGAACAAGAAGGCCCGGAGATTCAGGATGGTTTCGTAATCAGCCCATCTGAGCTTGCGCAGCGGAGACGTGATGCCAATATCGCTTTCACGGAGTCTCTAATGCCCTCCGTGTACCCAACCTGGAAGCAACTATTGCGCTCACGACCACGAATTCGTTTCAATGGCTGCTACATCTCCACAGTCAACTATGTTCGCACTGGACAGGCCTCAACTAATCAGCCTACGTGGGGCAGTCCTATCCATATCGTTACTTACTATCGATACCTCCGTTTCTTCCGTGATGGTACACTCATCAGTCTTCTCAGCACTGCTGAACCCGCAGATGTCGTGCACCACCTGACTCGCGAGGAACTCAACGTTCATCGTGGTGTTGCACAGCCCCATCTCCCCTCCGCCGTCATGGCACTCGCTCTTCGCGGTCGCTGGCGCCTGTCCACTGCTGCTGACCGTGATGAAGGCTCTGACACAGACCGGCCCGGTCCGGCTACTGGCGAGCATGATCGAGACCGTGATCCAGAGGGAGACGTCTTTATTGAGACCGAGGGCGTAGGATCCAAGTACATGTATCGCATGGATCTCTCTATGCGAAGTGCTGGCAAGGGGTCCCGCAACAACAAACTTATCTGGCGTGGCTTCTACAGCTACAATAAGTTGACGGATGACTGGGGCGAGTTTGGCTTGAAGAATGACAAGCCATTCTTCTTTAGCCGTGTCAAGAGTTATGGGTTTGGTGAATAACATGTTGCATCGCTGGCCAAAGAGAGATGCCAAATGACGTTGTTCTGGTCTGCATTTAGAAGCATAGATTATTACAAGCATATGAGTATACGAGTTTGACTTCGCCACAGCAGAGTACATACATCGGCTGTCTTCACAACGGAACTACGCATGGTCACAGCAAGTATTTCATTTCCAAGCATTCATTCTCAGAGGCTGATCTGTGGTCATTGATACGTAAATTTGTAATATACTGATGATGCCATCATCGTGACATTTCAGGCTTTAACTCTCTTCAAGATCCTTCAGCAACATCCAACTTCGTCCCTTCCATCAAATGGCCTTCGCCTAATCAGTCCTAAAAACATGAAGATGCAAGATAGATTAAGCAGCTTCCGAACCGTAGTGCCCAAACCAGAAACGCCTTCATCGCTGGCCGAAGAATCTGGCATGCCTTGCAAGTATAAAGAAATATTTCGTAGGAATGTAATGCCATCAATGATATTTCCAAAAGATGTGCAGATGTTGTGATGCTGAGAGCATCCAAGTGACAAAGTAAATGAGTGAGGAACGCTTATGCGCAAAATCAGGCGAGCGTCGCCGCCGGGTATCAATTCGCAAATGAAGTTTTGCGTGAAATAGGAGACACTTTTGATCGAGTATTCGACCGCGCCAAAAGTTCAAATATCCAGAATTCCTCATCTGCCCACACTACCGAATTCTCTTTCCATCCAAAAACTTGGGACTATGTCCCTCGTAATACTGATTATTGTATTGGCTCTGATACTGCATGGCCTTGCGTGCTTCGTAATCTGCCTTTTCGTCCTCATCAAGACTGAATGCCTTCTTAAGCCATCCAAATGCACTCTTCTTCTTCTTCTTAACTCGCTTTCCTCCGGCCTGGGTAGTAGCTCGTGAAGCAACAGTGGCGGCGTCATCGTAGGTCGCTGTTGTAACGCTGCTGAGAGTACTCATGCCGCCCATTCGGGAAGGCTGGTTACGTTGATGACCTTGGAAGTATCCCGAGGGGCGATATTGGACATCTGCCGGGCCGGCAGTATGAGGTCTCTGCTGTAGAGGAGAATGAGGCGATGCACGGACAGGGATCGTATTATGGTAGAACTGGTGATGCTCAGAGTGAGGTGAAGGCATCACAGGGACATGGGGTTGAGTTGATGAGAAGTCTGCATGTGAGATGGCCCTGGGAAGTCGATGAGGTTGCTGTACTTCAAGATCAGAGCCAAGGGTGTAATCGGGCGCATGAGATCTGGCCGTACGGGGTGCTGTGTTAGAGGGAGACGGGCGGCTGGGTGGCGGCTCGGCGTAGGTACGTGGAGGGATGTGAATCGACTCAGGTGGATTCTTCTTCAATGAGACTCGTTGCCGCAATGAGGTCCGCTTCTGCAGCCCCATTGCATCCTGAACAGTCTGGGTGAGCGTTCGTCTGTGTGTCTGTTCCTCAACTTCTTCGGGAGCAGGGATATGTATAGTAGAGGGTGTCATAGTTCGTCTTTGGCTCTTTTCTTCGAAACGAGGCGTCTCAGGACCTGGAGCCACAGGAGCTGCGGCGGATTTTGGGGTGTAGACCTTGGGTTGAAGGATATACAAAGGTCCGTCGTCGAAACCGCTATTTGCATCACTGTTATCAGGTTCCTCCCTCTCTGGCTGTTTTGCATCACCTGCAACAGACGCCCTGGGAGTACTCGCGCCAGATGAAGGGGATGTAGTACTAAGGTTGGGCCCAGAAGATGAGGGCGACACGCTTGCGCTGATATTAGGTCTAGGTGAAGAAGTCGAGGCACTCAGGTTCGGGGAAGGTTTGAAGCTCGCGCGTTGGTATGTCGTAGGTGGTAGTAGGGGCGTGCCTCCAGGAAGAGGAAAATCACTGAGAGTATTCACTTCGGGATCGTCTTGCGTCATGTGGGATGCACGATGACCCTCACCACTACGAATGCTGGCCACGGGCGTGAGTGATTTCGTGTTGGATCTTGTCGATGGAGATGCGACTTGAGCAGGCTCTTCAGACTTTGGCTCGTCAACCGGGATAGTGAACGGAGGGATGGTTGCCTTTCATAATGTTAGCACAGAAAAGAAGCAAGGATGAAATCAACCTACCCAGGTCTTGCGGCTAACCTCGCCAGCCGTCTTCTCCATTTCAGCCACGATAGTCATGAGTTTTATAACCAATCCGTTCAGATCCTGTGCCTGATTGTTCAAGTCGTCAAAAGTGTTAAGCCAGCCATCAGCGTTGCCCTTCATGGCCCGATAAATACTGTCCAAATCAGGCTCGGACTCTGGCCATTTAATATTTTTGTGCTCATTGAGCCATTCCATAAAGGCTTCGCTAGACCGAAGTCCAGCATCGATATCGTCGTCCCATTGTTTCATGGCAGCATTCGTTCGAGCCAGGATATGGTCGATCCTCTCATTCCCGGCAAGAATCTTTGCTCTGAAAGCCCGATCTTCAAGCATGTTTTCGAAGGCTCGTCTGTTGGCCATGGGAAGCTGAAGAAGAGCGATGCGCTCTGTGAGATCCTTGTGAGCCTGCGCAAAGTCTTCAAGCATCACCTCGAGAAACTCGTCAACCTCATCAATGTGACCTTGAAGGATGGTTACAACTTGACCATTATCAGCAGCCAAACTATTGAGCAAGAGGTATACACCAAATGTAATTTGTGAGATGAGTTTGTACATCTCATGCTGTTGCTGTCCAGGTCGATAACGCCATAATGTATCGAATGGTTCGTCCTCAGCAGCCTGTTCTAATAATCTTCCCCGACGACCTTGTGCATCGAGTTCTCTCAATTTAGGTTTACCGGGTCCTTCGGCCTCGGATGTGACTTCGTCTAGAGATTCGGCGAAGGCATCCTGTAGAGACGGGATAGGATGTGTCGGAATGGATTCGTTCGGCGCTCTATATGATCTATAACTGTCGGACGAAAATCGGCGGTCGACCTCTGATCCTCCAATGTCATGTTCTGAAGCGCCGTTTCCATCGTCGGATGTTGGCACAAGGACGATCCGTAGCTCACCCCCGTCATACGTCAACGGTTGAAGCTGGCTGGCGGCCATGGTGGTGGTGGTGCCACTGCCCGAAATAGACACTTGTGACGAAGGCCTAATGGCCGAGGTCATCATGGAGGCGGCGGATATGTGTGAGTGGTTACAGGAGAGAAACGGCAAGCCTCCTAAAGGGGATTTTTTGGGAAGCACAAAGGCGCGTAGCCAAGGAGAAGGCGTTGGAAACGTCGGTACAACTCGAATCGAGAATGAGGCTGGGCGGATATGCGCGTAACACGATGTGGTACCGCGTGAGATATCGAGGAACGAGTGGAAGTAGTTGGAGACAAAGGAGGGGGCTGAATCTATCGCATCGTGGAAGCGCCGCCTAGAGCCAGAATTCAGGCGACAGAGACAGCCATGGCACCAAGAAAAATATGAGTCACGGTATTGAAGTCGAGTCGTATGGTGTAACAATGTCGATACAACGGCTGTTAGTCGAGTGAGATGGTCAAGGTTGGACGTTGAACGTTGGATCGCAATGCTAAGTAGGTAGTAGAGATCTGCGGGAGAGAGTGGGAGCTGGAAAGAGGTCGCAGCTCTATCTGTAGCGCAGGCCTTCAAAGGGGAGAGATCATCAGCTGATCAGATCAGGGACTGGGGACCTAAAGCTACAAAAGACCGCCCAGAGCCAAGCGTAATTGTTGCTGTTGACTGTGGAGGGGGGTTTGGGTTGACAATCCGGGGTAGGCGTACAGTACTGTAGAGTCCACAAAAAGAAGCGCTGAAGGGGTCCGCTACAGCGAGGATAGACGTTGTTGGAAGGTAATTGATTAATTATCTGCCCGATGTCGAGATGAGGGAGAAAGTATGTAAAGACGGGACCATGTCATGAATCGGTCGATGCGATAGTTATGCCCTCCTCATCAGTGGTTCACTCACTGAAGCTACCTTCCCACCTTAGGTACCGTAGGTTACCATTCTATCTGGGCTTCGCCTCCTTCTCCGTCATTAGCCTGTGACCAGTAACAAATCCTGCCCGTCTTGTCTTCCATGTCTCGCTCGTCCTGTGCTCTTCCCGTGTCTCTGGGCCTCCCCTGACTCTGAACCACGCCAGCAGCGGCCACCCATCAACAACGGGGCCGGGTACTCTTGGCGAACAGCGCAACCACTAGCAGCCGCTAAAGCCCAGGTACCATCGCGCCGCCCCCTGCCAGTTCCTGGCCAGGCCTTGACGCCCCTGCAAAAAAGGCCCCGGGATTGGCCCACTGCAACAGTAGGGGCTCTACTGGACTGGGCTGCAGTTGGGCTCTGAGTGGATTGACTGGATATTTTTGATATGAGATTCTGCAGTTGGAAGATTCGCCGATGGGAAATATTAATTGCACTGAATCTATTAATCGTCGATGACCCAATCACTTGAGGCAAAGAGGTTGAACACGGCGAACACGTTGTCCTCCGTGGCTAGTTCAAGCCCAAAGTGGGCGGCTGAAAGTTCTTGATGGAATCCGCGGAATAGACTCAGCGTGTACCTGGCTAACGCTCGTAGTGCTTAACACTGTTGCCACATGATAATCAAGTGAGCAGCCATGACGAGAAATGAGTTCCCTTACTCATGTATTATTAAAGGCGCAAGAGGGAGATATCAGGGAAATATACGGAGTTGTTGGCAGCAAGGCTCTGTTTTCAATTTGCAGCCCTACAGGACAAACGTTCGGTGCATTGGGCAAACCTGATCAACACGGAAATCGTAGCAAGCCCAAATCAGTGCCGATCAATAGTTCTAGACCTCGAAACCTTGCTACCACGCCTTTTTGGCTTGCAGAAGCTGGCGTGGCCCTTCAACGGGCGGCTTATAATAGCCACGCTGCGACATACATGCCTACAGAGCAGAACAATGACAGGCCAATCAATCGGACAACGTCAAGACAATGAGACCCATTTGCATACCTCGATAATCAATATATTCGTAGCTTGCCGCGCTTCGCCCTATCGATAATGTCGCCATCCCGCCAAGCCGATCAAAAGGCTAATTTTCTGGTCTATCGATGTAAAGCGCCTGACAATTGCAGAGATTGAAATTGCCTCGTTAAAGTCACGATATTAACGGAGGCTGCAACACGATTTACCTGTCCTGGCCGATTCTAGTTCAGGGGCACGCATCTGAGGCCCCATGTTGCGTGTTACGCTGGTCGGGCCCCTCAGCCAATAACTCGACTCTAGACGGGGGGAACTGGTAAAAGTTGATTGATTTGGTGGATACAGCGCCTCAAAGGTCTTGCGATTCGATCTTTGATATCGCCATTGGGTGTCTCATCGGGGGCAGAATTGCAGCTATCGAGGGTACAGTCGACCTAAGGAATGCTGAAGGATCATAGGTCTCAGCCAAAAGAGACACAACCCTACCAAGGCTGCACTGCACTGCACTGCACAGGCAAGGGTCCTGCAGAATGCACGGCTCATCAACTGGACCAGCATCCGGGAAGAAGCAATTCCATTCAGCTGGAGACCTTCGGGAATTGCTGCCCACTCAATATCAAACTCAAAAAACTCAATCGCTGACCGACATTCCTGTCGAATTTCTCCCTCCTACGGTAATAACTCCAAGGAGAATTTCTTAGGTTATGCATGCTTGTTCAGGGGCATGACCCTCATGGCCTCGTATCAGATATACAAGACCAATTACTATTAACCTCGACTAGGGACTCCAAATCATGGATTTCCTGTTATCGGCAGTTTAATAGAGTTCAGTGGCAAGCGCCAATGGCTTTGTCCGTTGTCAGGCTGTTGATCTGACGGGAGCTTCCGTTTGGAGTACTCCGTATCTGTAGACGACTTCATCTCATCTCTGATAAATGTTATACGAGATTACAGGCTGAATTGAGTGAAGCTCTGTGACAGCTGGATGTACGCTTCCGTGACTGAATCATTGAGTATGCTTGGAGTCTTGAAACCGCTGAAAACATGTGATATCTGTCCCCAACTCAAGACCAAAACGCCACAAGAGACATACTTTACGACAAATCACCAGAACACAAAGTGTACCTATTTTAGGCACATCCTCTTAATCTTTGCTAATCCTTTCATAAAATCGCTTGTGCTTTATAAAGTCTGGAGTGTCTTAGCCTGACTAGAGCTGCACCATCTGACATGGCTTCCATCAGCAGACGAACATGGCGCAAGATACGATATAGCCTCCGAATATCTCGGAGAGTGACTACACGGAGTAATAACAAAGTTAAGATTTAAGATTGGCGATATCTGCAAGATTCTGAAGTGTAATTTTATATTGAATTTCACCAGTGAAGCTTTTCATGGCGATAACTGCCCGATCAGGCTAAACCTCCTTGTCACCATGAGCCACGTTCCTTGGGCTGGGAAAAATATCATCACCTCAGCTACAGCTGAACGTATGCAGGGTCCTACACCCAACACAACACATTCGTCATTCGTTTCTCCCTGCGCCGAAATAATAATATTAATAATTCCAAAATGGCCATCAGGAACCCCTTCAGGCTCGGCCACGACCTCTGGGATCCTTCCAATCGCTTCGAAACGTCCTGGCTCTTGAGCCCGTGGCTCCTCTTCGCTTTCCGTGCTCTCATCAGCATATACGCTTTCTTTACGCGATTCTTCGTCATCGGTTGGGAATGCACGCATGGAGATCTCGGCGGCTGTAGGGAGGTCGGCAGGTCTTTCAGCTACTTCACTATACTGACGTACTGGGGCATCGCTTTCTACTTTGCTGTGGCGGCGGTTCATACCGCCACGTACGCTCTTCGAGGCCGGTCGTTGCTCGATGGTCTTCCGCGACCGCTCCAGGCGCTCCAGGCGCTGTTCTACTCGACCATCGTCACGTACCCGTTCCTCGTGACGATCGTATATTGGGCGGTTCTGTATACTGGGCCTTGGTTCCCTAAGGAGTTCGACGCGTGGAGCAACGTCAGCCAGCATGGCTTGAACAGCCTGTTTGCGCTTTTCGAAATCGTCATTCCCCGAACGAACCCCCCTCAATGGGTGCATATCGCCTGGCTAATCTTCATTCTTGCGCTGTACCTTGCGCTTGCGTACCTCACCCACGCGACGCAGGGGTTCTACGTTTACAAATTTCTGGATTACAAAAAAATGGGCGGACGAGGCATTGTTGCAGGATACATCCTCGGCATAGCGGTCGGAATTGTCATCATTTTTTGCATTGTCTGGGGCGTTATTTGGGTTCGACGATGGTTGACGGAGACTAAGCTTGGTATGGATGGCAAGTTTGCACAGCAGCCTGCCGACACCAACGACATTGAGCTGGCTTCTTCTGGTAACAAGTACGCCATTGGAAACCACCCCGAGGCACAGGACAGAGTGTATTGAGCTTGTCTATCATAATTGTTGGGAGTATGGAGTGTTGGAGAGCCATGTAAGGCGTAAGGCGTAAAGTGTGCGCATTTCTTAATCAAACAGAGCGACCTTCAAGGATACCCTTAACCAGAACATCCAATATCACAAAGGAGTGTTAATTAGTAATAGTTAATGACAATAATGAACCTCGCAAGACACACGACACACGAAGCAAATTGTGCATGAGTAGGTTCGATCCAAGTAGTATTTCGAGCCTCATGTCTTCCTGCTCATAGCCATCCAAAGGGTTCACTATCTTTGAGCCTTGTGCTAGTAATAGTACCACAGTATACGTACAACGCCCATACATCCATCACGCCTTTACTTCTAAAAAAATTCCTCCGTCTAGCACTTTACCAAAATTCCACGTCGCTTCTCTGACTCACGAATCTCAAACATGACCTGAATGCCAACGAACAAACAAGAGCACGCTGTAACAAGGAAAATAAGCCCTGTTTATGTTTGTGTTAGTGATGTGCTTCCACAGAGTCGCGATGTGCCACATACCTGACCAGTCGTGCAAAATGCTCTGGATGATGCTCTGCAAACCGTCCAGCCCAACAGCAAAGCCAACCAAGTTGGCCGAAATCATCATGAGCGCGTTACCCACGCTGCCTAAACCACAGAGCATGCGGTATGCTGTTGGTCGGTCCTCCCACTTGCTCTTGGGGAACATTGCCGCCGCAGTCCACTCAGGAATCATGAACAGAACAACCAGCCAGCCCCAGATCAGCAGGCGGAGCTGAATGTCGTGCCAAAGTGCCACGAACGTGAATACAAGCAGGAATGTCACAGTGGACCGCACAGCGGACCGCCAGTTACGGAACGATGAGCCGCCCAAGGGAACATAGATGTACCTGATCAACCAGCGGTTATACGAACGGTGCCATGCTCTCCAGAAGAGCTGTGTGCTGTAGTTGTTGCTCACACAACGAACCATGTTTTCAGGCGGATCAATCCCATCAACCAATGACCAAAGTCGGAACATACGCCAAGGAATCAGAAGCTTCAACCAGATGATATGGAGATTCATGAAGGACAACATTGACAATTGTGCTGCTGTGTACGAACTCCAATCAGGCTTTCCTTTGCTGATCGCACCAACCCAGTCAAAGTGCAGAATGACCTCCATTGAAAGCAAGACCAAGAGGAAACGGATACCATATCGGATTGTTCGGCTTGTTTCGATGCTAGCAGCTCGGTACTTCGATTGTGATATGTAGTCATTGAATGTGAGGATAGGCCCTGTCAGGTAGAGCGGTGCATAGATGGCATATGCCACGTAGTTGCGGAAGGTAAAGTCTCGGGGCTCTGCAGAGATGCTGACACGGTCTCTTTCGGAGAGGTTTGCTGGGTCCAATTGCTTCTTCTATAAGCATCAGAGCATGATCAGAATTAATTCCCAACTCCTAAGCAACGTGACGACTTACCTCGAGCGCATTAGAGTTGCCACGATCAATACTCCAGTAGTAGTCTAAGTTGAAGCTGATCAGACGTAGAATGGTGATGTTGAAGAGAACCTCCCAGCGTGCTAGGATTCCTTGGAACGTGCTATCCATGCGAGCTCCCAAGTTCATCAAATCCGAGTTGAGTAGTCTCATCTTGTTCTTATACAAGCCCATTTGTGGGGGTGAAATGAAGCTAAATAGAACTCGGAACCGCCATCCTTCGGTCAATTCGTTGGCGAACAGGATGGCAATGTTGAAGATCCAAGTAGCGGCCGGAACATATCGTCGAGGAAGCTTGGTCGCAAGCTGGAAATTGGTCCAGAGGATGAAGAAGATCTTGAACGCAGAAAGTCCGTGTAGAGCGAATAAGAATATGAATGCGAATAAGAAGTCGAATGATGCTCGCTGGTCTAATCGGTTGCGTCCTCCCTGGCTTCGCTCAGGCAATGGTTTGTACTTGTTCCAAAGCTTCCTCAGCAGCGGGTGGAAAAGAAGAAGAGAGCCCATGTAAGGCATGTTCTCGCGGAAAACACCATATTGCGCATCGGAAACGTCGATCTGTCGTCCAGGAATCCAGCCCGGGGATAGCCATCGCTTAAATTTGGGGTATCGAGGATCAGTTTCTGGTCTTTGTGAGTTTGGAGTCGCACAAAAAGTAGCGGAAGGCATATACCTCGAGAGACATCGTATGTGATCCAGAACATGTACGGAATGGCCACAGCGAAGACGGCATAGTAGAGAAAGAACTCAGGCGTCTTCCATTTCGACGGTTGCGCTCTGCTCCGCTCCTTCGCTGCAGAGTCCTTCTTTATGCTCGGATCTAATCGCGCTTCGATAACATTCTGGTAGGGGGTAGAAGAGGCAGTAGTGAATCGTGTGTCGAGAGTATCATGGTCGTAGAGACTGCTCAAGAAAGCTAGAGGACCCATGATGGCGATGGTCCTGGGTCAATGCGACGGACTGCTTAGCACATGGCGGAGCACGTAGAAGAAGAGTAATTGCAGCAAAGAAACAAGATTTTAATTGATGCGAGAAAGCGAGCGTGAGAAGAGATAAAAGCAAGTCGCACGTGTAGAGAAATTGATGCAGTCGTGGCCTTCGTGGGGTGCGTAAGATGCAATGGAGCTAGTGGTGTTGAGAAAAAGGGACCTCCCACCGATCCGAGGCACGGTTTAAGGTGGGCTGCTCTCCACTCGGTGGCTGCAGGGGGCTAGAGCTCCCAGGGGGAAGCCCCTGAAAGCCGAAATAGGGAGACTGTCACTCGTCCGCTTGGCCTTTGAGCGGGGACTTGGTCTAACATTAGAACTCAGTTTAATATGAAACTATATGTAGACAACGTTTGAAGATGAAATCGTTTGATCACTACGTACTTTCATCTTTGTTCACGAGCATTATCGCGACAGTGCTTGGATGAGAATTATTGGAGATCATGACCAGGTTTAGGGTAAGCAGTTCGAAAAAAAGGCAACCATCCAGGAGAGAACTGAATGTTGCATGCCACGATAACACAATACAAGCTCATATGTCTAACTACTTATACGCATGTCGCCACAACAGCAGTGCTACCAGTTCTAGTGTAAGGAAAGATGTTATTTTTGGTCTTGATCTTTCCGTTCTGCGTGGAATGTCATTTCACTTCACTATCAAACATCCAGTTACTGCAGGGCTTTGCACTTTATCAGGAAGAACCAACGAACAAACATCTACACATACACAATGTACCTATCACGGCTTCACCGATGTATCACTAAGCTTGATGGATGTTGAGTTTCAATCATGGTGTCTGGCTATTACGACAACTTCACCTGGGAGTCCATCTGTCAGAGGATACGAATATCTGAACTATGACCAACTTGAAATAAAGAAGGCAATCAACTCAAAGATATGCAGTAAAACCATAGGATAATCACCTCAGGGCTTACAAGATTGTAAGGGAGGTTTCTCAAAGCTATTCAGCTCCGGCTGACGTAGTTGCTGATGCCTATGCAGAGCCTCCTGCTCACGATAAATGTAGAGTCTAGGACTATGATATTGAATTACACGACACGATCAATATGGTGGAGCAACACACAAACCGTCGCACTCGGAACTTTAGCATGATATGATGGGTCAGAATATCGAAGTGCAGTTTGAAAATGACTCTGGCAAACTTCCATTTCTATCATGTGCCAACTGGCAAATCACAATATTTAGTAAGGATCAGCAACAAGATAAAGGAAGAGAGCATAAAACTGAGGCTCTGCTTGGGGCTACAAGTATGTGTTGATCTAGTTGCTAGACCAGCCTGCCGTTGTTATCATTTAATATAAATTAAAACTTATGTGAACAATCCCCTTTCAACCTAACTTCCAAGACAGTCAAACATCTCATCCCTATCTTCACTCGAGCAAACTAAATCACTCGTCTCTGCAACTAGAAACCACTTGGTGATTCGAAGCATCTGAAGATCATCTCGAGTTTCGTAAGGAAGAGTTCAGGACGAGACCCAACGTCTCTTTCACCAACGTGTCTAATCTTGGTAAGACCATCCTTTTCCTCATCTCTATCCATTGCCCCTTTTCTCTTCTCACCTTGAGACTACTAATCTCAACATCCCGGGGCTAAATGTTGGCTTGGTATGTCTCGTTGAGATGCCATAGGCTTTGACTACCAATCAATCCAGGGAACAGTCATTTCACGATGTTGAAACCACTCGCTTCATTGTCCAACTAATCATCTCAACTCATTAGAAAACCATACTCGCTTTAGCATTTCCAAAACCAACCATCTCATCAATCGTCAACCCCTCATCTAAAATGTGCAACTGGAGCATCTATCTCTGGAAGTGCAACTGCTGGACTCTAGCCATCAAAGAGCCCTGCCACTCTCGTCGCCAGCAGAAAACAGCCAACTGCAACCAGATCCAACAGGTCAAGAAAGAATGGGTTCACGTTCAGGACAAACCATGCGTGAACCACCGAGCGAACGCGAGTCTCTATGTCAATGGACCGACTGCCAAGTGGGAGGATATAGAATCAACTGCTTATCAGAGTGCGAAGAGTCTTGCTGAAAGGGGAGATTTTCCTGACTTTGTTGAATAAAGGAGTCGATTGACTACGTCTGATATATGGCCGGTTGATTATTGGGCTTTTGTGAAAGAAAGGTTGGCCATGTTTCTACCATGATGATATGGAATTAGTATTAATATCTTGATTATTATCATTAATTCAAAGACTTTTCATCCGCTCCTGGATATTGCCTACGGCACAATTTCGTCCTAGCAAGGAATAATTCATCCCCTCGGAGCCTGTTTCTCCAATTTCTTCCGTATCTCCTCATTGATGCTCTGCATAGCCTTTACCAATGGCATAACATCCCTATTCCCTCTACACAGTAAGGTAGATTGATCGCTTAGCCGTTCAAGTGCTTTGATATCTGCCATATAAGAGCGAGGATCTTCAGCGCGCAGTATCGTGTTAGCAAGATAAGCAAACGCGACGAAGCATCTATATGCACCGAACAATGCAGTCATTGTTACTCCGTAAGGGTATATCACCAATAACCGATTGAGAGCTGCGATAAGACGGCGAGCTGCGTCTTCCACTATGGGAGAGTCTGGGATGTCCAAATCTGTTGTTGGGGGTCTTGGAGAAGTTGAGTTGAGAAGAGCCATCTTGCGAAACATGTAGATGATGGAAGTGTAGCCTGTCAAGATGACATCGGCTACCACCCAGATATCTTGTTCGTTATCTTGGGCACCTTCCAGCCATTCAATCTGTTATGAATCAGTATAAGCGCTTGCCGCGGCCTTAGAGTGTCTTACCAGCTGCCACTCAGCGAAGATTTGTTGCATCTCGCAACAAAGGTCTTCCGTCTTAGCTACAATCTCAGGCTTGGTGGTGTTTTCTGGGTCATCGAGCATAGCAAAGAACCGAGCGATTACGAGACTAACTCTGGAACTGGCCAAGAACGCAATCGTCTGCATGCCTTGCGGTAGAGGATCTGAATTAGGGTCCAGCCATGGTAGATTGACTTTCCAGATGTCGTTGGTGATGACTGGAGGGGTATTGAGGATGAGTCGGTAGAAGAGATCAATCTGGATGACTTCCCAGAACCCTCTCCTCTCATTATCGCATTTGGCCTCGCTGAAAAACGTGTTGTTCTCATCCGAGTCCAGCTTGTGAAGGTTGAGAGTCTGGCAATATTCGCATGCATGTTTAAACATCTTCCAGGCAAGGTCGTAATCGAAGAACTCAGCAGCCACGCGACTCTAAACAATATGGTTAGATGACAGGAGATGAGTGGTGCTAGAGACGTACTGTAAACAGAGCGGCGATTAGATCTGTCATGGTTCCTGATGCCTCTCGCTCCCAGCTGGGTACTGCACGCAAACATCCCAGGTAGCTCGAGTTCATGTATCCGAGACTCGAGGTCGAAGTAACATTGCTCGCTTTCAGACTGCAGCCATGATACATTATGCTGTAGTATATGACAAGAATGACCGGATCAACGTGGATGTGTGGTAGATTGATGATGTCGGGAATCAAGTCGATGATTCGCCTGTCCAATAAGCCTAGGAACATACAAGCAGGCATATGCTGAAAGTAGTCTAACAATGTCAGTCAAAATCAATGGTTGCATCGGAGAAGACGCACTGGCAACCCAAGTCTTGGCCAAGTCTGTGGGTATGTCTATCGAACTCGTAATGGCTGTTGAGCCAAACGACCTCTTCCTTAGCTCCTGAACTTGGTCGACTGCATCCTTCAGAACAGTCATGGCATCCATCTCATGGTCAGAGTTATGAGGCGTCAGAGCACTGGACTCATGACCAGTAGTGCTAAAAGCCACCGGCGAGGAGGATACCTCAGAGCCATCGCCAGAGGGTGTTGGTATCGATTGGCCGTTGGTGGATGAAGACCCAGCTACAGTCTGTGCCTCAAGGCGTTGCAAGCGATCAAGGATCGTCGACAGAGCAGCATTGGAGCCCTCAGCCGAGCTGAAAGAGTCAGCGACCAATACCCAATGGTAGAAACAAGACTACTCACAGGGCTGGGTCGATCAACGGCCGCGCAGACCTCCTCTTGACCCGGACGGGATACACACATTCTAGATCATTTGGCTTACAGCGACCACACTGTGGCATAACACGATTGCATCGGACTTTACGCTCCTTGCATCTCTTGCACTGGAGTCATGTTAGATCCCGGCTCAGAGTCATAACTACTCAGCTCGGCAGTTGAGAAAGGGAGCTTACAGAAAGACGATTAAGTTGTTCTGATCCGCTTACCCCGGAGGATGACATGTCGAAGAGAAGAGCCTCAAGATCAATTGACAGCAAAGTCCGAGATGAAGCTGCTATGATGAGTCCCAGATCAGACGATGGCGGAGATTCGGTCTTATCTACCCCCGCGGCCGGGTAAAGAACAATACGAAGAAAACCAGTACGTAAAACCACACTATCAACAAGAACAATACAAAGCCACAGCGGTGCAGTAAACTCCAAATGGACTGTGTTTGCCCAGGTTCTTGGTGATGGACTGGACGTCAGCGAACGCCACTTACCACTTTGAGTATATTTACGAGAGAGTTTGGCATGCAAGAGTCCGAAAGTCCGTGCCGAGTCTGGGGTTCTCACCTGGAGCCTCGGACTTTCAAAGTCCGAATTGCTTCAATGATCCACAGACTGTGGAAATGCCCAGACGAGCCAACATGGGGCTTTATGGGGTTGTATAAGTTAATTTTCTTTGTCTTTGACTCATATTTCATCAAATAAATACTCAATTGTTTGCTGAAATGTTTCTCTTCCAAATATCTTCATGCTCTTCAAGCTTCAACAGTTCGTCAATCACAGGCCAATCCATCTTTGGTCCTGAATCTCCAAATTGAGCCTCATTATCATTATATACGCCGACTGGAAACAAGTTTTAAACAACTTTCACGATGGCCACCAGCCTGCAGCTCAGTTCTGGGGCTGGTATCTCCAACCCATTCTACCACAACGACATCGGCTCAACATGCTCAACACATGTCTACACAGAGAAGAATACTGAAGTTCCTATGAGCGAGGACGATGAGTATCAGCACAATGAAGAAGTTGTACAACTGGCTCGAGAACTCACCCGCCGATCAAGTGCTGCACCAGGAACTCTCTTCCCCCAAGCAAGTGGTCCATTGAACCCCAGCAGTCCAAGCTTCAATGCAAAAAAATGGGCAAAGGCCTTCTATGACCTACGGACAGATACGTCCGAAGGAAACCCGCCTAGAACAACTGGTGTGGCCTTTCAGAACTTGAACGTATTCGGCTTTGGATCAGATACAGACTTCCAGAAGAGTGTGGGCAACATCTTCCTTGAGGCGGGTACCATGGTCAAGAAGCTTCTGCATGATAAGCGAAGAAAAGTCGATATTTTGCAAAACTTGGAGGGTGTTGTCCAGAGCGGAGAGATGCTGGCTGTGCTTGGTCCTCCAGGTTCGGGCTGTTCGACATTTCTCAAGACTATCGCCGGCGACACACACGGATTCCACATTGACGACACCTCTGAGATCAACTATTCTGGCATTCGACCTGAAGAAATGCGCTCAGCGTTTCGCGGCGAGGCCATTTACACAGCCGAGGTTGACCATCATTTTGCGCATCTCACAGTAGGTGACACACTCTACTTCGCCGCGCGAGCTCGCTGTCCGAAGAATATCCCAGAAGGCATTTCTCGAAGAGAATACGCAGAACATCTACGAGATGTCACGATGGCCATGTTTGGTATTTCTCATACCAAGAATACTCGCGTGGGAGACGACTTTGTGAGGGGTGTTAGCGGAGGTGAGAGGAAACGAGTGACGATTGCAGAGGCAGCATTGAGCTATTCGCCGCTTCAATGTTGGGATAATAGCACGAGAGGTCTTGATAGTGCTAATGCGCTTGAGTTTTGTCGGACGTTGAGAACGCAGGCTGATGTTATGGGGTGTACTTCTGCTGTGGCCATTTACCAAGCGTCCCAGGACGCTTACGACGTGAGTCTCGAGTAAGTATCGCAGTGGAATTTAACTGACTGGTGTAGGTATTTGACAAAGTACTTGTATTGTACCAAGGAAGGCAAATCTTCTTTGGCAAGACGAAAGAAGCAAAAGCCTACTTCGAAGGTCTAGGCTTTGTCTGTCCTGAACAGCAAACTACAGCCGATTTCTTGACCTCCATGACTAGCCACCAGGAACGAATCATCCGCGAAGGATACGAAGGAAAAGCCCCTCGATCACCAGATGAGTTCGTGCAAGCTTGGAAAGACAGCGCCCATAGACGGCATCTTCTCACTGAGATGGACGAGTATATCGAGCGACATCCCTTCGGAGGCGAGCACTATGAGAAGTTTGTCGACTCAAGGAAGAGAGACCAGTCCAAGTCTCAGCGCATCAAATCCCCATTCACCTTATCGTACATGGAGCAGATGAGACTTACGTTGGGTCGAAGCTGGGTGATGCTCAAAGCTGATCCCAGCGTGACGGTGACTCTTTTGCTTTGCAATCTTGTCGAATCTCTTGTCATTGGAAGTATCTTCTACAACTTACCCGAAGACACAGGCGCATTTCTCAAGCGCGGCTTACTTATCTTCTTCATTCTTTTGATGAACGCTTACAACAACATCTTGGAGATCATGACACTCTACGCCAAACGAAATATCGTCGAGAAACACGCGCGCTATGCACTGTATCACCCCAGCGCCGAGGCCCTTTCTTCCATGGTTGTGGATCTCCCGTACAAGATCTTCAACACCATCATGATGAATACGACAATGTATTGGATGGGCAACCTTCGTCAAGACGCCGGGCACTTTTTCTTCTTCCTCTTGGTGTCCTTCGTGACGACGTTGAGTTTCTCAATGCTCTTCCGTCTCATTGCGTCTCTTACCAAGACCATCGCTGCGGCTTTGGCTCGAGCCTCGATTCTGTTACTCGTTATCGCTCTCTATACCGGTTATGCAATCCCACCTCAGTATATGCCCGTTTGGCTTGGATGGATCCGCTGGATCAACCCGACTTTCTACGGTCTCGAAAGTCTCTTCATTAACGAATTCGGCGGTAGGAACTATCCATGTTCCAACTTTGTACCCAGCGGACCTGGATATAGCGACATCTCACCATTTTCGCAAGCTTGTGCGATTCAAGGTTCTGTACCAGGAGAGAACTTTGTACGGGGATCTGCATACCTTGCTTCGGCGTACGGCTACGTCGACTCTCACAAGTGGCGCGACTTTGCTGTTGTTATCGCCTTCACGATTTTGTTCATGGGGCTGCACCTGATTGCTACAGAGACGATCGCTTCTGGGCGTTCCAAGGGTGAAGTTCTCGTATTTACTCGCAAGGAAATGAAGAAGCATGTCAGCAAGGCGTCCGATGATGAGGAGACGGGAAAAGCGAGCGGTACACAGCTCGCCAATGGTAATGGTAATGACGAGGTCACGGATGTTGAGGAGCAGACTTCCGTTTTCCACTGGAGGAATGTCTGCTATGATGTCAAGATCAAAGGAGAATCTCGAAGAATTTTGGATCATGTTGACGGTTGGGTGAAGCCGGGTACTCTGACTGCTCTGATGGTAAGTGGCGAGCCACATCAAAGTCAGTCAGTACTAACACAATAATAGGGTGCGTCCGGCGCTGGCAAGACCACACTACTAGACGTCCTCGCAAGCCGAGTCACAATGGGCGTCGTAACAGGCCAAATGCTTGTTGACGGAAAGCTACGAGACGAATCCTTCCAACGCAAAACCGGTTACGTTCAGCAGCAAGACCTCCACGTCCACACCCAAACAGTCCGCGAGGCCCTCAACTTCAGCGCTCTTCTTCGTCAACCAGCCCAATACACACGACAGGAGAAGCTAGATTATGTGGACACCGTGATCAGTCTTCTTGATATGCAGGAATACTCTGATGCTATCATCGGCGTGCCAGGCGAAGGGCTCAACGTGGAGCAACGAAAACGATTGACTATTGGTGTTGAGTTAGCTGCTAGGCCTCAATTGTTGCTATTCCTGGATGAACCGACTTCTGGACTTGATAGCCAAACTTCTTGGTCTATCTGCAACTTGATGCAGAAGCTTACCAACAACGGCCAGGCTATTCTCTGCACGATCCATCAACCTTCAGCTATGTTGTTTCAACGTTTCGACCGACTGCTGTTGTTGTCTCGTGGAAAGACCATTTACTTTGGTGATATTGGTAGGAACTCCAAGGTTTTGGTTGACTACTTCGTTCGCAATGGAGCGCCGAAGTGTCCGGTTGGTGTCAATCCCGCTGAGTATATGCTTGAGGTCATTGGAGCTGCTCCAGGAGCTCATACAGAGATCGACTGGCCTCAGGTTTGGAGTCAATCGCGCGAACATGGGAATGTTCAACAGGAGCTTGAGCGGTTGGCAGCTGAAGGAGATGCCCATGCTGGGTCAGGAACTCATGATGGAACCGAGTACAACGAATTTGCTGCTACGTCATACATGCAGTACACACAGGTCACCAAGCGACTGTTTCAGCAGTACTGGAGAAGCCCTGGATACATCTACTCCAAGGTCATATTGTCTGTAGGCGCAGTAAGTATTCCCTACCGCGTATACAGGACTGCACTGATCCTGGAAATAGTCTCTCTTCATCGGCCTGTCGTTCCTGAATGGTCAAAACACCGAACGTGGTCTCCAGAACCAAATGTTCGGCGTCCTAATCTTCCTCACGATCTTCACCCAAGTTGTCCAGCAGATGCTTCCCGACTACGTCGCCCAACGCACCATGTACGAAGCGCGTGAAAGGCCATCCAAGACCTACTCATGGAAAGCATTCATGGTTTCTACAATTCTGGTAGAAGCAGTCTGGAACTCGGTAAGACTCCACTGCGAAGCCTATAAGTAGGAGATTTGTAACTAACAGTAACATAGCTCATGGCTGTGCTCTCTTTTGTTTGCTGGTATTTCCCGACAGGATTGTACCGTAATGGCTATGCGACCGATACAACGGATGCACGAAATGCAACTGTTTTCCTGTTTGTGTGGATGTTTTTCATGTTTACCAGCACCTTTGCGCATATGATCATCGCGGGCTTCGAGACTGCTGAAGTTGCTGGCGGTCTCGTTACTCTGATCATGATCATGATGTTTTCGTTCTGCGGGTAAGTTAGTCAAGATGCATCACGAAGAAGCATTGCTGATTTTGCTATAGTATCCTCGCATCGCCAGAGGAACTCCCCGGCTTCTGGATCTTCATGTACCGCGCCTCGCCCTTCACATACGTTGTAGAAGGTCTAATGGGTACATCAATGGCCAACGCCAA